CGCATGGGATGCTCACTGCTGATGATCAACACGGAAGCGCGTCTGCAGCTGCGTTCGCTCTGGGCTGGTTGGCCCAGGTGAGGTGTGTCCCCAGCTACAGAACGGACTTCCTCAACAGATTTTCAGTGTGACTGGTCTCCGCCCACCGAGAGGGCTCCTGACTGGAACCCTGCAACTCTGACTTGTCCCCGGGCGCAACATTCGCCCTCCCTTCATCAGCCCTGTAGGCTACGCCTCTTCAGTCCTGCTCCCTTAGCAATCTGTAGCCGAGAACACCGGGAGGAGAGGCCACGAGTGTCTCCCGCCCGCAATCCGACGGAGGTGGGGTTTAGGGGCCGGCTGACCTGATGGGCGCTGCAGCCCTGGTGGGGGAAGGGACCGTCCCTGAGGCCTGCCTGAGACAAAGACCCTGGGGTCTTTGTTTGAAGCGCCTTACTCTCCCCTCCCCCAATGGGCCCAGTGCCTTCCAGAGCAGCCCTTCTCTCCCTGAAGTGGGCCCCTGCTTTAACGTCTAACCTGTGTCTCGGGTGGGCTAAATCAAGCCAGTCCAGCCCCAAGTGGTCTGTCCCAATCACAGAGAGCTGTGGGAGCTGGTCCCCATGCCCTTGTGGCTGTGGACGAGACAAGGTAGAAGGAGCCTCTCCTGGACCTCACATGTTCTGAAGGAGAAGCAATGTCCTCCAGGGTTCCCTATTGGAACCACCATTGGAAAGAGCCCAGAGTTATGGAGATAGGCACAGGAAGATAGGCTTCCAAGGGTTAGGTAGATGGCTGTCATACACAGGCTCATTTATTGGCCAGGGTTAGTACAGCCACTCCAGTCTCTTTAGCACCATCCTCACCTGCTCACCAGCTCAGATCCCTAGAACCTTTTACATACTTAAGACACACATACATGCTGAATTCACTCGCAGGACACCAATCCCCAGTACCTACTGGCTAGGGACAGGTTCCAGGGATCTGTATAGTTCCTTGGATCCCTTCAGCTTTGCTGGGCAGGTAGTAACCTAGCTTACATATCCAAACCACACCGGCACAGAATGCACTCATGACCCTGAGTGTTGTCTTCCTGGAGGCTCCTGGTAACAGATACCCTCCCCCTCCCCCACCCCCAGGTGCAGAAATCCATGGCAACAATATAGAACACATCCCTCCCTAGGCCTTCTGTGGGTTTAGGCCTCAGGTGAGTATGGGGGTGAGTTCCTGGGTTGGAGGGACATGAATAAGAGTTACAGGAAAAGTTTAGCACCTCTGATCTTATCTCTAGGCTCAGGTCATGAGGGACAAAGAGGAGTCAGCAGGAAATATATATACATACCGGGGACATGCTTCCTGGGAAGTAACCTGCTGTCCTAGCCTGAAATATACACTCATATGACCAGCAGTCCTGTGTCCTGTTGGGTAGACATATGTGTAGGCCTTCTCAGAACTGTCAAGTGCTATCTGGGCCTCTTTGACACACAAAGAGAGCCCCATGAGGGTCCCATACCTGGGACACAGGGCAGACTGCATTCTACTTCCTTCCTTCCCAGCTCCTCACCAACATCGAGCATGGCCCCTAAGTCTTGCCAGGAGTCTGAAGATGAGCAGGTGTCCCCAGCTCCATCAGGTGTAAAGCCAGACAGCAGAGAATTAGAGTCCCCAGGTGGCACACCTCTGGACACAGTAGCTCCTTCGAGTTCCCAGAGCAGTAAGCCCTACTGTGCATCCACACCAGTGGGCTGCTCTGCCAAGCAGCAGTAAGGAGGGAGGGAATGGGGCAACCTCTTGGGTTGGGCCAGCCAACGAGCCAGTCCTCACCTAGTCTAACCACAAGGGACTGGAATTGCAGGTTATCTCCTGAAACCCTGGACCCATGTACCCTGAGGCTCTTATGGGAACAGAGAGAACTAGAGATCCAGGCACTTCGGTGGGCTGTCCAGAATGACCAGAATGCCCGATACTACCACATCCTGCAAGAGGTGGCAGGGATCCCCCCTGAGCGGTCAGTGGCAAAATCCCCAACACAACCCCAGTCCTACCTTGCTGTAACTCCTAGTTTTAGACGCCAATCTCACACACTGAGCTCTCTACCTGATTGCTTCTAACTTTGGTCTTTGCGTGATTTGACATCCCACCATACTTTTAAATAAGTTACTGTGCTGCAAATATAACCCTATCCCTGAGCATGTAGACACCTCTGCACATACCAGCTAAGGTTTACTTTGTCCTGGCCTGCTATAATGTGTGCCTTCAGGCTTTGGTGGCCATGGGGCATCCTTTACTGCTGGCCTACTCTCAGGAATCCTGGTGTGACCCAGAAGTGCTGAGATTGCTCCTCCTACCAGGAACTCCAAAAGTCAAGACAAAATCCTGCAGAACCAGGTCCAGAAGCTTACACTAGAACTGAAAGCACAGAAGGAACAAGCTCAACTGGTGAGGGGGTGGGATCAGGGAACAGGGCAACGCCTTGGCAGGCAGTAGCTTACCCACCTAAGGGGGGTCTGAAAGGTGGGGCTGCTGGAGGCCTCTTTCACTGGCAGGCACTCTTGATCAGGAGAAAGAAAGCTTGGAGGAAAAACTACAGCAGAACCTCTGTGCGATACAGCAGCTGGAGGCTGAGCTGCAGACTTTCCAGAAATCATGCCTTCTACAGCTGGCCCGTTCCTCTTGGGTGGGACGCATGCTTCGGTCTCAGACTGGCAGTGTGGAGGTGAGTTTGTGCCCCTGGCTCAATACCTGCCAAGCACCACCCCCAACACTGCTTGGGCAGCCAGCATGCTCCTTGAGGGATCCTGGCCTGCTTTAGAAACCTTGTCTCCCTTGGGATGTTTCCACAAGGAAGAATCATAAGACCAGCATCCTCCTCATCTATTACACACAAAATGCTGTTAAGGTCAAAAGTGAGACGCCCTGCCAGGCGGTGGTGATACATGCCTTTGATTCCAACACTTGGGAGGCAGAAGCAGGAGGGTCTCTATGAGTTCAAGGCCAGCCTGGTCTACAGAGTAAGTTCCAGGACAGGCTTCAAAGCTACAGAGAAACCCTGTCTTGAAAAACAAAACAAAAAAAGTGAGAGGCCCAGTGGGGGAAGGGTGTCCTTCCTCAGGCTCCCTGCCAGCTAATCTATGGTGCTTTTTTTTTTTTTTTTTTTTTTTTTGTTTTTTCAA